AGTCTCCAGCTGTGTCTTGTTTCTGCAGGGCCCTGCTAAGGGCAGCACATGTTCTGAGCTGCCTTTTTGTTATGGGCTTCAAAACACTTCCTGCAGCCTGAGACTTGGGGGCTGGCAGTGGGCTACAGACACCCCCTTCAGAACTTGAAGGTCACATGGATGCCCCCAGAGAAGCTAAAATTTGGCTGACTCTTAAAAATAATAGGATTCCAATGTGTCACATTTGTGTCATGGAGGGGCTGGATCCTATGGAAAAGAGACACTGAGAAAGGAGCCCTTGGGGTGGCATCCAGCAATTCTGTCTGGCCTGGGTCTTGCATTTTGGACTCCCCTTGATGACCTTTAAGGCCAGCTGAGCCCATTGGCTTCCTAGCAGCTTTCACACCCAGAACTCTGCTTTCTCTGGGAGACATTCTGCTGCACGGGACTGTCCTGTCTCACTCCGTGTCCAGGGTTCTTCACAGGATAACTCCTCGGGCAACCCAACTCTGGAATCTGGGCAGATGTTTCCCAGTGCTTGTAGTTCTCTTGCATAAATACTGTGCGAGGCTGGCCCCATCATGGACCAAGGGAAATGTGACTTTGGCCTCAGAGCGCACAGAGCTGATTGAAAGCTGTTTGACCTCGTGCCGAGGTTCTGATGACTGATTTTTCCTGAGAAACTGTGCGTGTTCTGTACTTTTCTCTCTGTGTTTTCCCATGGCAGTGCTCATAATGAAATGGATTTAGGTGAAGGCAACACTGAGAAGGCCCTCATTATCCTCTGAAGACAATTTTCCCCCACAATACTGTGCATCCCACGTGCCCTCAAGGCTGGGGGAGAGCATTTTGTCATGGAAACAGGCCAGGACTAACTGCCAGGGCAGTCTGATCTCTGGCACTTGGCTTAGCCAGTCCCCAAATGGAGCCTGACTTGGGGAAGCTCATTCTACCTCTGGCTGCTCTGCCCAGTTGCCCTGTGAGGGTGGCCACACCCCTCCAGCCCCCTGACTCCAGGAAGAGAACCACATACTACAGTAGCCCTCACCCTCATCGGCCTCCAAAGCCAGAGCACAAATCATTCGAAACTTTCCTGAGTGGGTGGGGAGGGATTGGTGAGGGAGGGCGGCCTCTCTGCCCGCGTCTTCACCCTAGCCTCATGCTGCGCTAGCTGCCCTCTGTGAGCTCTTCACCGTGTTCCCCACTGACTTCTCACAATGGCCATATGAGGGGGAGTGTGTGTCATCCCATGTTACAGGTGGGGAAACTGAGTGTCAGGATCCCTCACTGAGCTGGAAGCATGGCCACTCTTGAAGACCTGCTCATTAACATTTCTCCTTGGCTCTCAAGATTCCACAAATGCTTTGTTCTCATGAGACTGAGGACTGTGCAGTCTCAGAAACCCGGATGGCCTCCTTTTGTATCCCAGCTCTGCTTCTCTCTAGCCTTGTAACAGGGATGAGTTATTTGGCCTCTGCCTCAGTTTCCTCATCTGTCACATCCCACATAGGACCACTGAGAAGACTGGGTCATCCAGTACATACAGAGGGCTCAGGCCAGTGCCCCCCATGGCATTACTACTGTAAAAGTGCTTCCTTTTGTCCCAGCTGCATGGAGTCCCTGCCAGTTCTTTAGCTTCTGAAAATGAAAAGCACGTCATATGCCTTCTTCCTCTTGTTTAATTCTTTTTTTTTAATTTTATTTATTTATTTATGTGTGTGTGTGTGTGTGTGTGTGTGTGTGTGGCCAGCTCAGCCCACCAGGGGGCGGGGCTGGCTGGCATGTGGTGCTGGGGGATCGAACCGCGGTCCCTGTGCTTTGCTAAGTTTGTTCTACGTAGGTGCTTTAGACCACTGAGCCATCTCACCAGCCCCCTCTTGTTTAATTCTTTTAAGGGCCGTGGGACCCTTCCTCGGCCTCTCCAAGCCCTCTCTAGCCACATGCCCCCCCTCTTGCTCTCTGGGCTCCCTCTCTCCTATACACATTTCTTCCACCTGTCACAGGATCTTGCACCTCTGTGCCCACCTGCTGGCCCTCCCCATGTCCAAGGAAATCATGCCTCACCCTTCTGTTCTCGGCTTACAACCTCTGGACGCTGCCTGACTTTGTCCCAACTGCCCATTCCAGGCCGCAGGCTGAGACCACATGTGTTCTGAGTCTCGCTAATTACAACCCCTGCCCTCGGCCACCCCAGGGACGGCCTTCCCATGGTGGCGGCAGATGCAGCAGAGTCTGAGATACAGACAAACACAGCATATGTCTTGAGAGTTGGGTGGAAACTCCCACCCGCTTCCCACATACCAGAACAGGTGTCATGTGGCTCTCAGAGAGTAGACACAAAGCCACTGTAGCCAAAGAGGAACTGCCAGGCCCCTCCCCAGGCACCCAGACATGAACGCTGTTCTCTTAGAGCACTAAGCATGTCTGTGATTCTTAATTCATCTACATCATTACTTGAATAATTTATCTGTCAAAGACTATAAGCCTTATGGATGGATTTATTTTTGTACTACTGGGGATTTGAACCCAGGGCCTTTGCACTGAACTATGCTGCCAGCCATTTCTTTTTTCTTTTCTTTCTTTCTCTAATTTTGAGACAGGGTCTCCTTAAATTGCCAAATTGCCCATGCTGGTCTTCAGTTTGCCATTCTCCTGCTTCAGCTTCTCATAGTGGTGGGATTACAGGCATGCCCCATTATGCTCACCTCATTGTTTGCAAATGACTTTCATCCTGGGCTCTTACCGCAGTGGCCAGCACACACAGTAGGTGCTCGGTAAATACAGGGGTTGGGTAGGTTTCCTCACTCCAGCTGACATGCTTGTTCCCTAACCTCTGGCTTGGATTGGGAAGGGTTCAAAGGTGAGCGGGACCACTGGCGCAGCGGTCGGACCATCTGCATCAAGACCCACGAGAGCGGGCAGAAGGAGATCGAGGCCTTCGACGCCGCCATCCTGCTCATCCGCAACCCCTACAAGGCGCTCATGGCGGAGTTCAACCGCAAATATGGTGGCCACATAGGCTTTGCTGCGCATGCACACTGGAAGGGCAAAGGTACAGTGAGGAAGGAGGAAGGGATGGAGTGGGGCCTCAGAGGGGGCGGGGCATTTGGGGGCGGGGCCATGAATGGGCTTGGTATAGTAGGGTGGGCCCTTGGAGGGTGGGGTTAAGGTCATCCTCCACCTGTGCTGGATGGCCTGTGCTCCAGTCCAGCCCTGCCCCTTCCTGGCACAGCTCCTTACTCTCTGAGTCTTAGATTGTTCCTTCTGTAAGTAGGATAATAAAATCATGTGGATGTGAGGGTATATTCTTCTGACAAACACTCTACAATTGTGACTCTTGTGAGTCTGATGCAGCTCTGGCCAAAGCAGGAGACCTGAATTCAGCACCACATCCGTGACTGTATGACAGGATTGTGTTAGGTACAGAGCCTCCTTGCAGTGAATCTTCCAACAGGTCTGAGACTCGCTCACACCACAGAGCTTGGAAATGGCAGTGTTGGCTCCCAAGAGGGCCTGGATGTGAGATTCAGCTCTGGCACTTACTAGGTGACAGAGGGCCCCTGTGTGATGTACATTTCAGCAGAGAGGTCTGGGTAGTGATTAGAGCTAAGACTTGAGACCGGAATTCAGTCATCCTGAGTGTCTTTAAAATCCCTCATCAGGGCCTGCGAGATAGCTCAGCAGACCAAGCCCCTGCTTAGGCAAGGGCAGGGACTGGGGTTCAACCCCTGGCACCACATGCCACGACCCTCCCCACCCCACCCCCATGGCACTCTGAGCCGGCTACAGAGACTGAACATGGTGGTGAATGCCTGTAATCCCAGCACTGGGGAGGCTGAAAACAGGAGGATCATTATGAGTCTGAGCTACAAAGAGACCCTGTACTAAGTACAATCCCTTATCAGCTACAGGACGGTCTTTGTTATCTCTACTGAATGTTTTGGAAATGGTTCTGTAGGGGGAGGGTGTTACTGAGGATTGAACCCAGGACCTCAGCCCCTTTTTAAATTTTGAGACAGGTTCCCACTAAGTCATTAAGTTGCCCAGGCTGGGTTCCTCCTCCCTCAGTCTCCCAGAGTTCTGGGATTGCAGGGCACACCCAGCTTGAGGTTAAATCCTTAAACCCTCCACAATAATTCCTACTATTTCATCCCTGGAACAACCCAAGTTCAGAGAGGTCAAGGAGTTTTTCTGGGTGGAGAATTTGCAATTACATAGATGAGTGGATTCCAAAGATTTGTGGTGCAGCACAGCACCTGTGGCCAACAGGAAAGGTGTTCTGTGCTTAAAGGTTGTCAGGGAGACAGATCTCACGTAAAGTGTTCTTAACACACAAGCATGTACAAGTGTACCAAAGAAAATGGACCCGAGTAGACTTTGGGAGATGGCAGATGTGTTCATGACTTCCATGGATATTAATATAGCTGAACTCCAAATTGGGCATATTAATTATGTGCAGGCTTTGCACACCAGTTATACCCCAGTATAACTGGGGCAGGGATTTGAACTCAAGGAGCCTTGTTCCTGAGTCCCTGCTGTTAAGAGCTGTACCTTTGCTAATGGGCTGCAGATGGTCCTCAGCTTACAGTGGATCCTCTTATGAAGGGAATACTTCATGATGTGCAACCAATCTGCTTTTCTCTTTCAAAAGTAGTGAATAAATTATATGCAATACTCAACACTTTATTAAAAATAGGCTCTTGTTAGACTACATATTTCCAGTTATAGTTTAATGTAAGTGCTCAGAGCATATCTTAGGGATGCTGGGCTTATGCTGGGATATTTGGTAGGCTGAGTGTATTCAGTGTGTTTTCATGTATGGTATTTTCAGTTACAAAGGGCTAATTTGAACATGACCAGTCTTAGGTCAAGGAGCACCTCAGTGAGCTGCTGGCCCAGTGTCCTGGAACCCAGCAGATACCCTGAGGATGTGAGCTGCTCCTAGCCCATCCGGTTCCTCCAGGAACCAGGCTGTTCCCAGGCCCCAGCCCCTCCAATGAGACAGAGCAGGGAGGCTGCTGTCAGCTGCACCCTCCACATGGGTTTCATTGATGCAAACCTGTGGCCTGGTCTGAGCTGCTGAGCCCTGGGTTCCCAGCCCATTCCAGGGGGCTCATCCATCTTCCCAGAACTCTTGCTCTTCCTCTTGGAGGGGTTGGAAGCTGGAAAAGGTGACAAAATTGGTTTATAGCCCAGAGTAAAGAGGCCCCTGAATTATTTCTCTGTAGAACAACTTAAGAATGAGCACTGACCAGAGCCCAACGGAGACATCTCCAGTGCCAGTAGTGGCAGCGAGTCACAGGAGCACAGACTCTGCTCACCGGAAGTGGGATGGACCTGGGGATCACTGAACCCCTGGTTCTCAGCCTGGGATGCACATCAGGCTCCCTGGAGGAGCCAGAGGAAATCCCAGTACCCTGGTCATACCCCGTCCATTGCGAGGGTGGAGCCCAGACAACCGTAGTTTTAAAACTCAGCTTCTTCCTATGTGTAGGCAGGGCTGAGAGCCCCAGAGTCCCTATTATTGGTGAGGGAACTGAGGCTTGGGGGATTCAGAGTCGGCCAAGGTCACTTGGGCACTAGTGGTAAGACTGGCCCTAGTCCTCCCTGACCTGCTGATGCGGGAGGGAAGAGAGAGAGGATTAACTCAGGGAGTTCAGGGACACTGAGCATTTGCTATCTAAACTCCCCAATAATAAGGGGAGGAGAGAAAGGCTGCCATAATCTCAGCAACATTCCATTGTACATGGGCATAAGCCATCCCAGGCAGGGACATGTTCCTTGACTAAAGCCCTAGGCATGGACTAAGCTGGGATCCAAACTCAGGCATTGATTGACCGCCAGGCTCCACTCTTCCTCAGGGATGCTGTAGACACCCAGCATGCCAAGAGGCTTTCCGCTCCTGCACAGAACCCTGTTTGGCTTCAGAACAGTCCCATAATTTCCAGAGGTCACTTCTTCCAATTTGTCTTATTCAAGACAGCTAGGAGCCTTAAAGCAGGGGAAGGAAGGAGATGGACCAGCTGGACCTAGAGGATGCAGGGCACAGAAAAGATGCTCTATCACGTTTATCTCTTATGGAGCCTGCAGTCCCACACTGCCCTAAGCTTGGGAGGAGGGGCCTCTGCCAGCATGAGCCCCCACCACAAGACCCAGCACTCTGCAAAGACATCTGGGCCATCTGGGCACTGCAGGCACTTGAATGGGAGACCCTTGCCTTTCGCTCTCCATCCCCTGGCTTCAGCATTGCTGGTGAGCTAGTTAGAAATGCAGATTCTCAGGCTGCACCTGGAATCTATGGAATCAGGAACCCTGGCAGTTGGGGCCTCCTACTTCTTTCAATACCCACCCCCAGGTCTTCTAATGAGCACTCCGCTGCTGGACCACTGCTTATGAGTCTGAGCTGCACAGTGAGACTCTGTACCGAATACATTAAAAAAAAAAAAAAAGCCTTGCTCCTCAAAGTGCAGCCAGTCTCCAGCAGCCCCCAGCCCACGCTCACTGGAACAAAATCTGCCTTTATAACCCGATTTCATGGGGGCTTTGGGTACACTTGAAAGTTTGAGCGTTGCTGCATTAGGATGCCTTGGTGCAGAGTGAAGGGTCATCCTAGGAAAACAGAGGTCACTCAGCCATGGAGCAGGTGCACCCCGCCTTGCCCTTGTCCCCTTCCCCATTTCAGCTGAGTGGAGGCTCCCATGCCCACCCACCCACCCACACCTTTGGTTCCATCACATTAATTTTATAATCTCTCTGGAGTGAGTCCAAATCAAAATTTTATGTGATATGATTACACAAGGTGAATTGTCCTGGATCCGTTTAATGAAACAGCTACTGTGTTTAATGATTCCGTGGGGACCTAAGTACAGAGAAGCCATTAATCAGCAAGGCCTTCATTCCTTTGGTCCACAAGAAGACAGAGCAGAGACTGGCCGGCCTGTGCCCAGCCAGGCACACCTGTCTGGCAGTCCAGGTGGAAGCGGGGCTCATTACCTCTGTTCCGTGACTCGGTGTGTCTTTATTACCGGACTTCCAAGCCGTGATCAATTACCAGGAATCCTGAGCTAATCAAGGGCTTGGTTTTAAATTTTGAAAATTTTAAATGAAGTATCTGAGGAGCTGTGCCTTAGGAGGGGGTGGAGTGGGCACATATCTGGTGCCAGAACGGGTGGGGTGTGTACTTTTGGGAAAGGGCCTGTGGGATGTCTCAGGGGATGCTGGGGACATGGGGGCAGCATCGGCACAATCACAACAGTGACCAACATTAATCCAGCTTCCGCTGTAATCCTCACACTGCGCTGGTGTCTCCCCAAGTCTTCCACTCTGTCCGCAGAGCATCTGTACCGTGAGAGGTCTTATCAGGCTCGCCTATTTACAGACAGGTAAACTGAGGCTCAGCGAGATCAAGTAAGGTCTCTTAAGCCACACAGCTCATGTGGAGAGGAACCTAAGTCCCAGTCTTATAGCTGGGCGATTCCATGGCAAAGTCATCTGTGCACAGACCTCGTGTCCCAGGTCGCAGTTTGAAGATGAAGCCTACAGTGTGTAGAGGAGGAGGCCAGGTGCCCAGGACCCAGAGCAGCAAGAGGGTTGAGGCCAACTGGGTCGCCAGCCGGAAGCATGTGGACATGGTGGCTCCCAGGGTCACACAGGGTAGATATGGGTTTCACCTTGACATCCCCTGTGGCCTTGGCCCAATTGTTCATGTCTCTGAGCCTCCATTTTCCTATATCTGAAACGTGCTAATCTCACTCCCCAGGTTTCATCTCTTTTTCTTTCTCTTCCTCTTCCTCTTTTTCTTCCTTCTATGTTTTTCCTGTCTATCTCTCTGTCTCTGTCTCTCTGTCTTCCTGTCTGTCTGTCTTGTCTGTATCTGTCTGTCTGTCTGTCTGTCTGTCTGTCTCTCTCTCTCTCTCTCTCTCTGCTTCTGTCTCTGTCTCCCTCTCTATCATTTTTACATTATTTGGGATTGAGCCATACTGAGCCAGCCCTTAAAAATTAATATATATATCTATATAGATATATAGATATATATCTTTTGTATTTTGATACTGGGTCTTCCTGAGCGGCTCACTGTGGGCCCAGGCTCTGGCTCAGCCTAGCTGAGTGCTGAGATCTCAGGCAAGCAGCGCCTCAGGCTTCCTGAGAACTGAGTGAGGTCACTGTAGAGGTTGCCGTAGCCCCTGATGCCCAGTCCGTGCCCAGGCAGCATTCCATCCCAGCCTGCCCCTCAGTGTCCCACAGAGGTGTGCAGGCAGCAAGGACACTCTGTCATCTTCATCCCACTGCACCCAAGGCCCGGCATGCGGCACTCCGTACGGGATCCAGCCACCGTGCAGCCCAGCCCTTCCTCTTCCTTAGGGACACTCCACGATTTCCCTTGGCACCACTGGAGATGGCCAGAGTGGCCAGGCCTAGATGTCTGCGTCTTTGTGGCGCCGGGTGATAGATTCTGTCCCATCACCTGGGCTTCTGCCAGGAGCCTTAGGAGCTGCCTTGAGTCTCCTGCGATGCTGAGGGTGACTCCGTCACTGGGAGATTCTGCAAAAGTCAAAGAGACCATGTGCATACTAGATTTTTCCTAATCACCCAGATACATCTGTTCTTAACCCACTATAACAGTATGGGCTCAATTAGTCAGAGACATTGTAAATAATCTATTTTAAGAATTTAAAAAAATCTCCTTGTCACCACGTAAATATTTCCCAAGCAGCCATGGGGTTCTGGGAGGGGAGACAGGGGAGCGGGAGGCACACACAGATTCTGATGTGTTCTGCAAGGGGAGAGAGGCTCTTCATCACCGCACCATTTGGCGCTTGGGAATTTTAATTTAGCTCAACAGCCGTTCATGGAGCCCCTGCTGAGGGAGGCATCGGGAGGCAGTGGGATGAGGCCCCCTGGGGCCTGGGGAGGGGCAGGGCCTGGGCTGGGGCACCCTGGTCTGGATGTGCCTTGGGCCCTGCACCCTTGAGCAGGTCACTGTGCCCCTCGGAGCCTCAGCTTCCTCCCTAATGATGAGTGAACAGCAAGTAGCTTTTTCCTTTCAAGGAAGCTGCTAGGATTAAAGGACATACAGGATATTTGTCACCGAGCTAGGGGTGAGGTTTCTGTTTTTAAGAACTACTCCCCAGCCTAGACTGGGGCTTCACTGATCCTCATGCAATAGATAAATGTCCCCTGTCATCCCCTGGTCCCGGTTCAGAGCTCAGGGACCTGCCTGGTGATCTTCAGCTGATTCCTTTTCTGTCCTGCTCCCAGAAGTCTCCTGGTCCTTCCTCTTTGAGGCCCTCTGCAGGGCTCCCCAAGGAATTTCCTGTGTTCCGTGTGACCTAGGTTTTAAGTCCCAAGCATCCCCTGCCCATGTGGGGGACAACCCACCTTGTTGTTCCGTTGTGGCAAGGTGACTGACAGCAGAAAGGTGACATAGGTGGGAGGTGCAGCACAGTGCAACCCATGCCATGCAGCGTCGTGACGAAGGAAGGAGGGTGCAGACCAAGAGGGGGCACCAAAGCTAGAGAAGGGGGCAGTTTGTCTGGGAACAGATTGGCATCGGTAGCAATAAGATTTACTGAGCACCTACTGGGCATGAGCCCATGGAGGCTGTAACTGTCCTGCAAAGAGACACTAGCACAGGGCGCCTTGGTGAGAAGCCCAGGTCTTGAAGTTAGATAGCCTGGGTTCAATCCCTGGCTCTGCCTGAGATTAGCTGAGTGAGCCTGGACACTTCCTGAGCTGCTCAGTTCCTCAATTTCCCTTTCTGCTGAATGAGGGTAATGATGGCACTTACCTCACAGGATTGTGAGGTTTAAGTGAAGTGAATAGATATATAATAGTTCTTAATGTGTAGTATAGCTGGGCTAGGGAGATAGCTCAGCAGTCTGAGTGCAGCCTGGCAAACACAAAGACCAGGGTTCGATCCCTGGTACCACACGCCATACTGGCTACCAAAACTAAATGTGGTGGTACATGCCTGTAATCCCAGCACTGGGGAGGCTGAGACAGGAGGATCACTACAATTCTGAGCTGCATAGCAAGACCCTGTACCAAATAAATGAATAAAAGATTTAAAAAAAAATTTAAAAGATAAATGTAATATAGTTGTATACTTAAGTAATTTACATGCTAGCATACATTGTGTAACATAATATACATATAATATACATTTTACATTTTGTATAATAAGTAATACATAAAATATATTTAATTATATATCAGAGTATCATATAATTTATTATATAATTATGTGTGTCACCTGCATATATTTATATACAAGTATAATATACTGGATTCTCACTATAATATACTTATTTATATATTAATCTAAAATTAGTATAAATATACTATCTGTATATTGGATGCTTATATCGCAGTAACATACATTTACATAGGGGGCCTGGCTTGTAGGAACGCAGGAAGGGGGAGAGATTATCCCGGAGACGTGGCGGGCTGTGGGTGGAGCGGTGGGGGTGCAGAGGGACACGAGCCCTGCTGCCACCGCCTGAGCAGGGGCTCCTGTCGCCGCCTGACCCTCCCTCCTCCCCACAGAGTGGCCGGAGTTCGTGCGCAACTACGCCCCCTGGTGGGCCACGCACACGCTGGACTGGCTCAAGTTCGGCAGGAAGGTGCTGGTGGTGCACTTCGAGGACCTGAAGCAGGACCTCTTCGCCCAGCTGGGCCGCATGGTCCGCCTGCTGGGCGTGGCCGTCCGGGAGGACCGGCTGCTGTGCGTGGAGAGCCAGAAGGACGGGAACTTCAAGCGCTCGGGGCTGCGCAAGCTCGAGTACGACCCGTACACGGCCGACATGCAGAAGAGCATCTCGTCCTACATCAGGCTGGTGGACGAGGCCCTCAAGGGGCGCAACCTCTCAGGCGTGCCGGACGACTACTACCCGAGATGACGCCTCGGCGCGGGGGAAGGCGAGAGCCCCGGCATGCCCTGGTGACCCTCACTGACCTGTCCTCCCTTTGGTTTGGGGACCATCCACCCCCTGGCTGCGGTGGCCTTCAGCGAGTTTCCTGCATGACAGAGGAGACTCGAGGGAAGAGAGTGTCGCGGCGCACCCGCCCCAATCTCTGCTGCTTCCCCGGCAGATGGGCGCTACCTGGTTAGGGGAGCTCGGCTACATGGACCCTTTTCTCCCACACCCACCTGCCCTGTTTCCCTGCCTCCCCCACTCTGGGTTCCCTGGTGGGAAGGAGGGCTCCTAATTGCCACGGAGACACGCTGGGCCCTGCCCAACCCCAGCAGCAGTTGTTGAGGCCTCATGCGACAGCTCCAGGGACCTTTGTCAAAATGCGACTCCTGTAGGCTGAGAGGTGCCACTCATTTCCTTCTCTGCTCAGGAAGCCTTGGCACTGTCTCCGTCTCAGGCCACCCACTGCTGGGAAGAAGGATGGCAGGACCTGTCCTCGGGGCCTTGGGTGCCTGACACTCTGGGTAGAGGGGAGAGAGTGGTGCTCACCGTAGGTGGGGTAGCACCACCACCTGGCATCCCTGGCCACACTGCAGCTGTGGAGCCAGATGGTGGGGTTTCTACTCGAGGGCTCCAATTTTGTGCTGTTCTTCCTCAGCTGTGTCTAAGAGGTGATGTTGGAAGTCCTTCACCCCACTCCCAGGATTCCTTGGGTAGCATCAGCTAAGCCTATAGGCTGCCATGCCCAGGTTTTGGGTGAGAGCCCTAGGGACCCATCGGTCCATGGTGGGCTCCAACACATCGACCTTACACTGCCCTCTGACCCCTACCAGTGGGTCCTTTGCTATTCAGCTGGTAGAGCCAGAGTGCTCCAAATCAGCTGGAATCCTGACCAGAAGAGACTCCCTTTACCTTCCTAGACCACCAGCCTCCCTTCTTCAGAGCCTGACAGGACCAGTTTCCCCTAAAGGCCCTTGAAGGTAAAGGGATAATGAACAGCTCATCGTTTCTATTGTCACGCTGCTGTCTTGATGCCGAGACACCAAACCAAAGGATTTCTGAGGACCCGAGTCACTGATCATCTGTTTTAGATCATTGATCCAGGACCCCATCCTCTCCTCAAACCTTGGATCCCGGTGGCTTCACTCCCAGCCCCCGTTTGCACCCCCCCCTCCTGTAGCTGCAAAAGCCATAGGTCACAGCCTCTTTGCTCTTCTGTCTGGAGTGTCCCCAAGCACATGCCCCTTCCTAAAGAGCAAAGGGACTATGGAGAAGGCGAAAGAAAAGAGTATATTTTTTTAAGAGGAATAGGACCAATACATTCCGGCCCTTGGGCCCTGGCCATGCAAAGAGAAGGCACAGGGACTGGACCTGAGCTATGCTTCTCCAAGTTCCCCCATCTATAGAATTTGGGCCACCCCGTGGCTCAGCCCCTGGGCTCGGAATGTATTTTGTACCGTGTTTCTTTCCCCCAGCTGATTTCTAATCTTTCACGAAGCTGCAGAGGGCTTGCCTCCCATCGTGCGTGGAGGCCAGCTCTCTCTGGAAGACTCTTGGTCCAAGACTCGGGCCAGTTCTTTGCTGGTGGTCCCCTCTGGCCACAGGCTTGTGTCTGAAGATTCCTCAGGTCAACACGTCAACACTATCATTAAATTCAAGTTTTGTTGATAATTCTACTCTGGTGGAGTGTTATATAAGGCAAGTTCACAAAGGAGATGTTTTCTGTGGGGGTATGTCTGTATAATTGCTTCTCTCTCTCTCTCTCTCTCTCTCTCTCTCATTCTCTCTGTTTGTCTCCCTGTCTCTCTCACTCTCCATCTCTCTCTGTCTCTGACTCTGTTTCTCTGTCTCTCTGTCTCTCTCTCATAGTCTCTCTCTCTCTCTCTCTCTCTCTCTCTCTCTCTCTCTCTGGCATAGCTACCTGCACCTCTGTGTGAAATCACCCTTGTGTCATGAGTCCCCCGTTCCCCTGTGGGCATGGAGATCAGCCTATTCTTCATGTGTCTCTGTGAAGAATTGTGTGTGCAAGGGGCAACAACTGACGTGGGTGACCCAAGGTGTGAGGGGCTGTCAGTCTGCTTGGGGAGACCTGCCTTCTGAGTGTACCTTTGTCCTTGGTAGCTGTGAGGGGCGTGCATAGATGTGGGCTGGAAGAGACAGCCACCATAGGCTTGTACATGAGTGTGGAAGAGGTCATATGTTTGTGTGTGAGTGTCTGTGACAGAGAGAGCCTGAGTGTGAGCTACGCACATGTTTTTGTGGTAGGGAAGCCAGTGAGAATATAAGGGCACAGAGAGGCCCCTCTGTCCTCTGGTGTGTGTGTGGCAGGGGACGTTTAGCCTCAGCCCCTAAACGCTGAATACAACTGAAGGAAGACTCTGGGTTCACTCCTTTCACTCACTGGAGAGGTTTCTGAGAGAGGTGCTCGTGCTTGGACCAGTTCCCACTCATGGGAGTGACAAGATTTAGATACCACCACATAGTGGACAGGAGAGAGGGAGCAGCTATAGGCCAAAAAGATAGGGGAGGGTGTCTCCCATCCAGGAGGAGAGCTGAGGACTCAGGGACCCAGGGTCATGAACCCAAGGTTCACAGATAAGGGGGAGAAGAAAGACCCCAAGGGGAGATGTGACATAGGGATCCCGCTGGCTCCCAGAAACCATTCTGGGATGACTGCACTCTGGCCGAGCACCAGCCTGCCTCCGACCCCTGGCCACACACAGAGCCTGGACCTAGATCCCTGAACTGGAGTCATGACTGAACTCTGATCATGCCTGAGCTCTGATCCCAGACATATACTAGTCTCACACTGATGTTTTATTCAAACTCCACAATGACGGATTCCCAACTCTGGTTCTGCACACACTGAGCCCTGATCCTGGTTACTGATTATACTTCAGTGTGGATCTTTTTTTTTTTAATTTTTAATTCATTTTAATGAGAAAACAAGCTAAAATAGTAATGAAACAGTTTCAAAACAGGTTAGTAGGACAGTTACAATAATTAATACATTGAGGGACTGGGAAGATAGCTCAGTAGAATAACTGCTTGCCTGGCAAGCACAAGGGCCTGAGTTCAATCCCTAGCTCTGCCAAAAAACCTAAATAAATAAATAAATAAATAAATAAATAAATAAATCCTGAGGGGGTCTGACCTTGTCAGATACAAAAGTTACATTTCTTGTTATATAGGTCTTGCTTTATCTTGGTCTTAACCATCCAGCAGAAAAGTATAAAAGGTAAAGCCATATTAATAGGCTAAGCTGTAAAAGGCTCAAGTCAACAACTTCTGACATTGCCAGTCTTTACGGAAAACCCACTACTATTATGGACTACTGGACTATATTGGAATATTTTGCTGAATTCATGCACCTACAATATTTAAATGACAATGGAACATCCATATCTGACAAAACTAAACAAAAAGGGATACAAATGAAGGCCCATTTTGCATCTATATATTTAAAATAGTTAGGAAAATAGTAGATACACAGCTACTTTGTCTTAATTCAATGAATAGAAAGGTTGGTACTAATAGTGTTTGTGGACAGGATATCATGTCTGCATTTTCTACTATGAATAACCACTAAGAAGACAACAATATGCAATGTATTAATTATTGAAACTGTCCTATTAATTGATTTTGAAACTGTCTCATTGCTATTTGTTTCTCAATAAAATTATTTAAAAAACAATAATTAATACATTGCATATTGTTGTCTTCATGGTAGTTATTCAGAGGACAAGATGTAGACATGATCTCTTATCTAAACAATATTAGCACAAACCTTTCTTCTCATTGAACCAAGAGAAAGTAGCTGTGTATCTATCCTAACTATCTTGTGTATACATATTTTTTTTCACTACAAAATGGTCCTTTATTTATATGCCCTTTTTTGTTTTGTTTTGTCAGAGATGGGTGTTCCATTGCTGTTAGAGAAGCTGTATTTGGAGAATATTTAAAGGACCTTTTCATACTTGATGCCAGACCAAATATTGTAGCAAAGATCCACAAGGTGCTGTCCATGATTCTGGGGTAAATCCTGAGAGGATTTGACTGACCTTGTCAGATACAAAAGTTACATTTTTAGTTATATAGGTCTTGCTTCAACTTGGCCTTAACCATCCTGCAGTAAAGTATAACCATGAGGTATAAAAAGTAACGCCATATTAATATGCTGAGCTGTAAAAGGCTCAAGTCAACAACTTCTGACAATTGCTTGTTGTGCTGGTAACCCACTATTATTACGGACTATTGGGCTATATTGGGTTATTTTGCTGAATTGAAGTACCTACAATATTTGGACTGGCATTAGTGTGGGTCTTATCTGGGCCAGAACAAATGCTGACAGTACCTCGTAACTGAGTGCTGATTGTTGTCACTTGTACTCTAATTCAGGCCACGCACTGAGCCCCACTCCAACCTGGAGGAATCCTGCTCTCCACCACACTGAGCCCCGGCCTGATCTCACATCAAACCTTGACTCTGGTTCCAGGCTCAGCCCTGAACCAATGCGCCAATTTCATTTTCCCTCTCTAAATACCTTCAGTGGGACCATGTTCTCCCAGCCGGAAATGAGGGCACCACAAGTCACCCAGCTTTCCTGGATCTTGCCAGGCTCTCACAGATTTTGTGTTGTATCGAGCTCCCCAGGCCTCCTTGTCACAACTGCCAGAGAGGGGCAGCTGCTATAAAACCTCTTTGGGCCAAATTAGGGGCTGATTTGCACAGTTTGCGACACCTTCTTTGGCCAATGTCTGCCCTTTGTGCCACACTTCATCATCCGCAAGCAAATGTTTGAATGTCAGACTCAAAAAGAATTGAGTATCCAATGCAAGTTTATTAAGCACCTACTGCACATAAGGCACTGGTTCCTTTTTTAGAGACCAAAAGAGGAACAGTCCCCATTCTTGTAGAGTTTACATTAGACCAGTATAGAGCGGATATCTGTACAGCGATTAGAAAGAATTTGCAGAGATGAGAATGAGACACAGAAGCTAAGGATGGAGGACTGGGGCCGCTCCTCACCACTCCATGAGGTAGGTGAAGAGAGATTATGGGTCCTTCCTAGAGGGGGAACAAGGTGTCCAGTAAGAGTCCCAAGCCACAGAGACTTGCCGCGGAGCTGAGACCACCATCCTCTTCTTCCACAGCCTAAACGCCAGAAAATGACAGGAAGAAAAGTTATGGATCCCAGTTGTGCCCAGTGCAGGTGACATGCCTGGCCTGGAGGCTGGAATACTGGGGCCCTCGTCCTTCTGTACCTCCACCCTCACAGTGGCCCCAGAACTCAAGAGCAAGTAGGGCTCAGTATTGCTGATTGCTGAAATTCATTCCAGATTTCTCTAGTAACCCTGCAGGCAGCTGCAAATGCCTCCAGCAGACAGTACAGGCGGGGAGAGGAGGAAAGGGGAAGGGGGACCTGGGGGCAGGGGTGGCCAGCCTGTGTGGGCACACCCCGTCCAGCCCCTTGTCCCCTCATTTCTCTCTCTTGCTTCGTTTTATTTCTCTCCCTGTTCCCCCTTTCTTTTCTTTCTTTCTTTTCTTTTGTTCCCTCTTTCTTTTTGTGTTTCTCTTTACCCTGCCTTATGCTCTCCATTTCTGTCTTTATGGTCTAATTTCCTCTACTTTTCTTTGTTGTCTTTCTGCCCACCTCCTGTTTTCTCTCCTCACTTCCTGTCTCCCTGTTGCCCTCATCTCTTCCTCCTTCTTGATTGCTGCCTAGGTTTCTGCAAGCGTCTCTCCATCGCCACCTCTTCAGCACTGAGCTCTCTGTCTCTTTCTCCCTCCCTGCCCCTGCTGTCCTCTCCCATCTCCCCATCCTGGAGAGCGGAGAGTGACTCTGCAGGATCCAGACACAGTGAGACAAGTGGTACCCAGGCTGGTAACCAAGGAAGTGGTTTCCTTAGCAACAGAATCTGCAGGCACGTGCTGCAATGCCCTGTCCTCTTTGCTATTACAGTAAGGGGGAGGGTGGGAGGGAGAGAGAGAGAATATGGGTGATACGGGTGGGTGACAATAAGCCTTGAGATAGTTGCACCCCACTGTAATATGATTGTTACAGGAAGGCACAGTGGTCTGACAGCAGCTCTATACCTCTCTATACCTCTTACTTTAGGGACATTCAGAAGTATCAGAATCAGGCTCAGAAATGGGCATGCACATGGGTGACCCCCATGTGCCACCAGCCCAAGGTTCTGGCCCAGGCAGCTCCTGGAAGGGGAGTTTCCTTTGACTGAGACTGAGAATCCAAGACAGAGGATTGGACGAGGGAGAAGAAGAAATTAAGATGATATAGCTCGCTGTCCCCCCAACTCCATTAAGGAGCAAGGGCAGGGGAGGGATGATGTAGAGACAGATGCAGGAGCAGCTCTTTTGGTTCTCCTCTATACACTGGCAACGGGGTGCACAGAAGAACAAGAGCACCCTTGAAGGTGGAAGAGGCTCAGAGAAGCTCAGTAATTCACTTTAGGGACACAACAGTCGGCAGTGACCCTGGGATTCTAAGGCGGGAGTGATCCAGAGCCTATCCAGAAGGCGGAAGAGAAAGCGAGGGGTATAAATGGAGAGACGGGGAGAAAGAGAGAGATTTAAATCATTGACTTGGCACTTTTTCCTACTGGGAAAACAAAAATATGTTCAATTTTAGAGAAATGAGAAAGGAGGTGGAGGGAGACAAAAGCGCCTACTGTATGATAGCTTTGGCGGCTATAAATAACTGTCCCCGAAGCAAACACCTGCCAAGACG